CGATCAAAGTGTAACACTTATTAAAATACGAAGGAATAAAGAAAATTACTCCACCTTGGTAATTACATGCAATATTTTTTATTCCTTTTTTTTGTGCAATCAAATGCATCAAGCCACCACTAAAACTTTAAACAATTACACCCCTTCCCCAAAACTTCGACCCTTTTAAGTTGATTTCGCAGTTATTAAAAAACTTAAATAAAAAGAAATAAAAACATATTGGAAAGATAACTTTACACGGGGTTTGTAATAAAGTAGAGAGATAAAGTATTAAAAACATGAAAAAACAAAATTTTATATGGGAAAGCTAATTTTGCACAAATATTGTTGTAAATTGGTGGGTATTTTAATGCAAATGAGTTGATTATATTGGAACTAAAATTAGGCCAAAAGGGTTGAAGTTTTGGGGACGGAGGGAGTATATTGCTATTTCATCCATATATAGGTTTTTATATTGGATACTGATATATGTAGCCCTTAGACCATCTCCAATGGTGAGACTCAAGTGAGTATTTTTAGGAGAGAGAGAATATTTTTTGCAATGTATACCAATAAGTTGTTATCTAAACTTAGCAACTCCAAAAAAAAGTTGCTAAGTTTAGATACTCAACTTTGAGTATCATTTGACAAAAAGTATGGGCGCTTGTCAATATTCTAATATATTTTGTAATTTATTTAAGTTTTACTTTTTTTATTTTTTATTTTTTTATTTTATTTATTTATTTTTTTAATCTTACAATAATTTATGGGCCATAAATTGAAAATGACATTTGTATATTTTAGAGAGTCTCACCATTAGAAGATTAGACTTAACATGAGTTGCTAATTGAGAAGTGGGTATGATCTCACAATTGGAGGTAAAAATAACTCATTTTGTATTTCAATATTCAAAGTTGAGACTCACCATTGGAGATGGTCTTAGGGCATGTATAAGCATAAATATATTTCATTATATGGAATTAAGTTAGTAATTCATGACACAATCACACGCATATCAGTGTAATTAATGTTAATTTATCTTCAATATTTCCTTATTTAGCTTCTTATACATAGCCCTTAGAGCGTGTATATATATATATATATATATATATATATATATATATATATATATATATATATATATATATATATATATATATAGAAATAGGATCATATGAGACCACCCCCCTTATGTGAGAACCTTATTTTATGTGAGCACATATTACAACCGTTGGATCAACTACATCCAAGGGTCATAATACAACCCGGTAAAACAAACAAAACTAAACAAATTTATTTCAAAATTTATTTCCTACGTTTTTTTCTCTCTCCTCCTTCTTCTTTTTCGCTCATTTTTCTCTTTCCTCCTTCAATTCTACAATGTTCATACTCTGCTGCTCTCTGATTTTTCATCAAAACTTCTTCAATCTTCATCAATTTTCGTTAATGTAAGTCTATTGTGTATACATTTGCTGTTTTTCGATTAATTTTAGGTTACATTCATTGTTTTATTTTCGTTTTGATGTTCGTTTAATTTTTTCTGATTTTAGCTCATTAATTTAACATGCAATGTGTCGATTATGTTTTATTTTGTTATTTTTTGTTGATTTTAGCTTTATTTTCGTTTTCTTGAGTGATTATCCAGTAAATTTTAGTTTTATTTTGCCTGAATTTTGGTTTTACTAAGTGTTCTTGTTTTGGTTTTGTATTTGCGATATTATGTTGTTTTGTTGCGATTTTTGTTTGATTTTGTTGCGATTTTTGATTGATTTTCATTTTGCTTTTCGTTTCTCATCTCTGATTTTAGGTTAATTTTCGTTTACTTTGTTCAGATTTTTGATTGATTTTGTTGCGATTTTTTTGATTGATTTTCGTTTTATGTAATTTCTCAAAAATTTGTAAAATGCTGTTTGTCTAGTATTGGAAACAACACTTTGTAAAATTGATAAATAAATGGTGATAGTACTGTAAGATGCTATCAAAACCAAAAAAATCTATTTATTTCTAATAGAAACATAGTAGTAAAGCGCTAATCCTGAAGGTGTAACTGCATTCTGATGTAGCACATATTGTTTTGATAATTCTCTAGTATTGTATAAAAGTAATAGCTCCTCTGCTTCTTGTCCAACATTAACTCAAGGCTGGAAATTAGGTAATGTTATCTTTCGATATTCTTTTTGTGATCTACATTGTTAAACTGTCTGGGTTTTGGATGATATTTGAAAAGGTCTGGAGGAAGGCAGCTAAGTCAGCCCCGTAGATGATTGCTCAAAAATTTTGCTTGTCACTTAAAGAGCATCTATGTTTGATTGCTCATTTGACAAATGAGCATCTATGTTTTTGCTCATTTGACAAATGAGTATCTATGATTTAGCTCATTTGTATAAAATTACCAACTAATTATTTACTTTTTTTTTTAATTGTTTTTGCTCATTTGGGAGTGTTGAATGTGTTATATTATCTAACCAGTAAAGTCGATGGTTCCGAGTCTTTTGTAAGGTCCTCCATGATGTGTAATTGCACCTTTATGTCATGTAGTCTACCTAACTTGCTGAATTTTGTTTAATCTCCTGACCTTACTGAGCTTTTCTAGAGCGCTCTATCATTATTCACTAGTTGTTACACTACCTTTCCATCATATTCCTTTCGGTAAAGGACTTCTGGGGCAATATAGGCTAGTGTTCCTACCGTCGATTTTGGTTGAGAATGTAGCACTGCAGACTATTATAATTAACAAAGATTAGTCATGATTCTGTTAAGGCTGTTGTGTCTGTCTGCGAGGCTGTTGGTGTCTGTCAGTGTGGCAGGTTCTGTGCAGCTCTTGTCCTTGCAGTCTGTTTCGTTTTTCTTCAGATATGAGGTTCTGGTTCTGTGTTTGCTGGGTGTCCTCTCTGCTGTAGTCTGTTGTTCTGCTTCAGTCAGTCTGGTCCTGAAGGCTGTTGTGCTGATCCTTGGTGTGTTTGGATGCTGGCTTGGTTAGCTGAGTTCAGGTGTTGCAGGCTGCTGTTTGCTCATGCTGGAGTTAGTTGCTGTTTTTGTTTTGTGTCTTGTTCAGGCTGTTTTAGTGCCTGTTTTTTAGCTAGTTTGTGTTGTTTGTTTCTGTTTTTTTGTGTTGGCCTTTGTCCTAGTCCTTGCTTGTAGCTCCGTTCAATGAAGATGCCTTCTTGCATGAGGGTAGGTAGGTGTTTTTCCCTCTCGCCGTGTTGGGCACCCTTCCTAGAAGGTGGTCGGGGACGGGTTTGGGAAGTAGGTGGTGGTTGTGTGCCTTCGGGCTGAACTGGTTTCTGACATTTGATGTTCTTGGCTGAAGCAGTTCATTGTATTTGGATTCAGAGGAATAGTGTCCTGTTTAAAGGCTCGTGTGAACCTGCTGAGACTATTTTCAGGAGACTGGTGTACAGAGTTGCTTGCAGAAGCACTAAGATTGACAGAAGGAAGCTTATTTGGTCTTAGGGCAGATTGGTTTTCTTTTTAGTTTCATGGTTGTTTTATTGTATTTGCCTTGCTGTGTTGGCTAGTGTGGGCTGTTTGCTTGCTTATCTTGTTCAGGCTTGTTTTCTGAGTTCTGTTAGGCTGTTTGAGCCTGGTCCTTGCTTCTGGTACCCTTCCTAGAAGGTGAACAGTAGCTAGGATCCAGGTTTATTCTTGTTTCAGGTTAGCACCCTTCCTAGAAGGTGGTTAACCTTGAGCCTTGAACTGGTTTTTGTGGTTGTTTGGCCTTGTGGTCTTTGTAGTTTGGATGGGCTGTTTGCTCTTTTTTTTTTTGTACTGTGTACTTTTCTTCTTGGTAATAAATTTTCTATTTACCAATAAAAAAAGCTTAATTCATTTGAAATTAAGCTTTAATAACAGAACAAAAATCTAATATCAGAGAATAAATATAATGAAATGTACTCCATAATTACGCATTCTCTCCTGTTTGTTTTGTCATTTATAGTATTGCAGTAAATGGAATTTACTCATTTAAGTCTATGTTTTTGCTCATTTGACAAATGAGTATCTATGTTTTTGCTCATTTGTATAAAATTACCAACTAATTATTTACTTTTTTTTAATTGTTTTGTATGAGCAGGGAGTCTATTGAAAAGGAGCCTGCTGCCGATGTTGGTTCATTAGGTGCTACTGCTGATGTTGTTTCAGCAAGGCCTGCTGCTAATGTTGGTTCAGCAGGGCCTGGTGTTGGTTCATCAGAGGTATTAGTTGGTACTAAGGTTAAAGGTAAAAAGGTTGAAAAAGGATTAAAAGAAAAACAAAAGATTAAGCTAGAGGAGACGAAATCCAGCAACGAAGGGGAAGATTTGAAGTCTCATGTTTATGGGACATTACATAGTCGGATGTCCCCTTCATCCATAGTTCAAGTTATTGAAAAATGTTCAGAATTTCAGTTGAAAGCTATTAGAGCAATAGGATTCGGGTCTATGGAGTTCTTGAAGGTGACCCAACTGCCTTTGCAACTGGGTTTATGGTTGGTGCATCACTTTGATGCTAACACATGATCTTTAAACATTCCAGATTCTGAACCTTTTTGTATCACTGAAGAGCATGTGCATCAAGTACTTGGGCTGTCAATGGGTGGCATAGAAATTGACAAAAATAATTTTTCCAGAGATAAGAAAGTGATTCAGCAATGGAAGAAGCAATTCAAAAGCAACTCACTCTCTATCAAAATAGGGGAGCTGAAAGAGGATCTAAAAGAGCATAACTCAGCTGGTCTTATGTTCAAAAGGAACTTTGTAGTGCTATGCGTTTCTACATTGATGGATGGTAAACTTTTTATTTTTATTTTGCTTATTTTTAGTTATAGTTAGCACTTAGCAGTTGTGTGCTATATATAACAATTATATTATCTAAGTTGTTGGTCATATATGTATAGAATCAGTTACTTGAATCTATACATCATTAGATAGAGACTATTGACACTTTCAGAATAAGATATATATATATATATATATATATATATATATATATATATATATATATATATATATATATATATATATATATATATATGTATTTATCTTTTGTTCTATTTATTTATATTTTGATGGATTATTGTTGTTAGTCAATGATGAGATGGGTGAAAAAATTTGGAATAGGATTTGGTACATACTTCATATTAACATACTTGTCAAAAAATTTCAAGTTATATTATAAATTAGTTATATCATCAGGAAAAGGTGGAGAGTCAACATCATGGTTTAAATTTTATAGGAGTTTGCTAATTTTCAATTTTGTTTGCTTATTTATATTATATTTTGTTCATTTAAATTTCCTTTTGCTCATTTTTCTTTTGTTTTGCTCATTTTTTTTTCAAGGAAACAAAATGTGAATATCAATTCTGATATTCTCACATTTCTTTCTGATGTTGATAAAATAAAGGACTTGAATTGGTGCAAGTATATCCTTGATTCACTTGTGAAGGCCAAGCTTTTCTGGGAAGAACGTCAAACTCGTTCTTTTCCTGGATCTTTACTGTTTCTTATGGTATTACTTTAATTTTTGTTGTTTTTTTAATGTAGTATTTTTTACTTATTTGTTGATTTTTAATTTACTAATTATTTTTTCTTACTTGTTTGTAGCTATTGTATGTATTAATTTTTATTTGTTTAATTTTAATGTACTGATTTTTTCTATCTTACTTGTTTGTAGCTTTTATACGTTGATCAGTTTGTCATTGAGGAAGTTAGAGCCAAACGAGAAACTCCAGTTCTCAAAGGTTGGACAACCAATATGTTGTCAAGTCGTGAGAAATTGGAAATTTTTAAGGGGAGGCTTGGAGTTTTTTATAAAAACCAGAAGCTTGTTGGTCCTTCTGGCAGCAAACAACCAAAACTGGTATTTCACTTGTAACCAATACTTAGTTTTTCTATGTCTTTGGCATTTCTTGAAGAATTGAATTGGAACAAATCTTGCTTTAAGGAAAATGATGCAATGTGGTGCTTTTATAGCACATTAATGGACCTCCTAAATCAGTAAAAAAATATTTGCTCATTTGTCAAATGAGAAATTATTTTTTGCTCATTTGATACTGTGTGATTTGGATGAAAATTACACAATTATGTAATATTTTTTTTTTTGTTTTTTTTATTTTTGCTTGATTTTAGGAAAAATCTGATCAAATTCATACAAAAAATGAAGAAATTGAACAAGATCCGAAGAAGGTATTTATATGACTTTTCTGGAAACTTATATTAATTTGCTCATTTTTATATGACTTTGCTCATTTTTTGTTTTTGTTTTTTTCCCTAATTTTTGTTATTTTTTACTTAATTGTGAATTTGTATTGTTGTTTTGTGAATTTGGGCATTGCCGTGCGATGAAAGAGTAGGGGGTTAAAAGGTTGGGGGTGTGCGAGTTGTTATTAGCCCAATCCCTATCCTCCCTAAGATACATCTTCTGGTTAGCTTTAAACATAAATCTGATTAGCTTTAAACACCTCAGATGGTAAAACCTCCTCATTAACATGTGTAGGTGTTTGCTCATTTGATAAATGAGTAATCAACTATTTGCTCATTTGGTAAATGAGCAAAAAATTGATTGCTCATTTGACAAATGAGCATCTATGTTTTAATTTACTGCATGAAAGGACTTTTAGCTATTGGGGAAATGGATTTAAGGATCCAGGTGTAGTGTTAAATGATCCTCTAATTGTTAGCAAAAGAAAACTCTAACAAGCTGATCATGATTTTGCTCTAAAGTTTGGTACTCCTTTAAGTATCCAAGATGGTCTTGGCTTCTTTCCATTATTATGAATTAATTAAATTTTTTTTTTATTTTTATATTTTTTTTAATAGAAATGCCTTATGGAGCTTGCAACAGCATCTACAAATCTAGTCTTGGCATACATGGATTTCAGTGAAAAACATGAAACTGCTGTTAAGTATTTTCCAAACAATGAGAAGATTCAAAAGCTGAAGGAAGATGCAATGACTGTTTGTGATGAGCAGAAGATGAGCTCTAAAGCTTTGACTAAAGATATTCCTCTCTCATTTAGCCAAGATGAACAGTATTGGCAAGATCCAGCTGTAATTGAAGCTTGGGATAGGTTTTCGAAGATTTCAGGCAATGACAAGCATGCTGAATCTACAATTTATGCTAGGGTTGATCAACTGATTGAATCAGAACCAATTGATATTACTAAGATTGCTGCTGAATGTGTTGACATAGCAAGTGGTATACCTGATGTTGAAGATCCATCTGTTATCATACAGCCTAAGGTTGCTGAACATGTATTAAAAAAACTTGGAGAGTCAAGTACGAGATATAGTTTAAGAAGTTCAGTTGCCGAAGGATGTGGAACTCCTTCATTCAGCTTAGGAATCTCTTCTCAAGATGATTCTCAGGAGAAGTCCCCCAGCATTGCACCTACTGATGAACCTGTAGTTGCTCCTGTGAGTGCACAAGTTGGTGCTTCTAAATCAGTTGATGATGCTGATGCTGTGAATGCTCAAGAAGACCCAATTGCGCTTAAGAGAAAATGAGATGCTGAAAATGAGAGTTGTATTCCAAAGAAGCGTAAAGTGCAACCATCGTTGCAAATAAGATCTCCTTTTAAGTCTCGGATTATCAACATATATACACCATTAACAGCAGTTTAGAAAGGTGTTATGGATTCATTTTTCATGAGAAGAAAAATCATTTGTAAGTATTTATTCAATTTTTTCAGTTCTGAAATTTTTTGCAACTGACTTTATTTTTCTTTCTTATAACAAGTCTAGCTCTATATTCTCACTTTACATATTTACGATTGAAATTATTTTAACTTCCCTAAATCTTATATGTAGTGATGCAGGGTTTTTATGCAAAGGTGAGCCTGATAATGAAGTAATGCTATTTCAACTTGAAATGCTAAAAACTTAGAGCAAAATTCATGGCGATATCATTAATGCATGGTCTACTGTTCTGAATTTTAATGAGCAATATAAAGATGTCAATTCTTGTGGACGTTTCTTTTTTGGTCTTAATGCTGTTGTAAGTTCAACTCGTTCATTTTATTTTGTTTTATTTTGTTCATGTTCACTTTGCTCATTTCATATAATTTTTTTATATTTGAATGTAGATGTTGTTTTGTATTTGCAAAAACTATTATTAGTTCTTTGCTCATTTGTCAAATGAGCAAACTATTCAATGCTCATTTGTCAAATATTCTTGCTCATTTGTCAAATGAGCAAAAATTAAATACTGAACTAATTCAAGTCTCTTATTGGATACTAAATAATATAAAATATTTTGATAAAATGTTTGAAATACAGAACTAATAATAATATAAATTCTGACTTCCTTGGTCTGAATCAATGTATAATCAGTCTTTATGAGTTGTATTATGGTCTAATTTTGGTCCTGCACAATTCGGACTCTTATTTATGACCTGTATTATGGTCTGAATCAGTGACGAGTGAGAATTCACAGACATGCTGCATCTATAATTCTATATGGTCTTAAACCAAAGGACTTAATTCTTTATGTTTATGATGCTATCTGACAACTAACATTCTGTATGTTCTGTAATTACATAAATAATTGAATGATAGCTGCAATTAATTCTTTGCTCATTTGCCAAATGAGCAGTTAATTTTTTGCTCATTTGTCAAATGAGCAAAACATTCACTTGCTCATTTGTAAAAAAAAATTCAATTTACTCATTTTATGACTTTTCTCATTTCAAATTCACTTTACTCATTTCTTATTTACTCTTTTCATTTATGTTCATCTTATTTATGTATTTTTCTTTATTTATTTTTTTAGGATTGCCTTTTTCAATACGAAAGTGATCGTGCTCAAGAAAGGAATAAAATGTTTTGTGAGGTTGTGGAGTTGGAATTCAGCAAAACAATCATCCCAAAGAAAGATATTGAGCTTTTCTTTTTCCCGGTATTTGAAAAGGATCATTATTATCTGGCATGTTTTAACACCACCACAGATTGTGGTACAATTGAGGTTATTGATTACAGTGAAGGTCCTAGAGAAAATAAGAAATTGCTTAAAAATCTGGTATGTCTTCTGCCACTTCTTCTTCATCATTAATATCCTCATTGATGCCTGCCATGTTGTTACCAGATTCTTTATTCATGTCTCCTCTCATTATATCACTGGTACCCTAACCCTTTCAGAGGATTCTCCTCTGAATTTCTTCTTTCTCCCATAACAAGAAAATACACACACACACACTCACGCCAGAGACACACACACACACATACACAGGCACACACACACACACACACACACGCATACACACACACATACACACACGCACACATACACACACACACACAAGCAAAGTCTTAAATAGCTTCCTGTTAGTCTCTGTCTCTGTCCTCACTTTGAATCTATTCATGGTCAGCTTGATTCTTTCGGGATATATGACATGTAAAACTTTTCTAGAGGATACTTGCAAAACTCTGTGATTTATTTTTCTACATAATGTGCATCTCTGCATTTGAACAATGTGTTTGAGAGTTTCTGATTGTATACAGGCACACACACACACATACACAGGCGCACACAAACACACACACACACAAATACACACACACACGCATACACACACACATACACACATGCACACATACACACACACACACACACAAACACAAGCACACATACAACCTGTAATAGAATCTGAAATCAGATTCTGAAATTAGTTTTTGGAATCAGAATTGTGTAATGTGTGGGTAGGTTTGTGTGGGTAGGTGGCAGTAATGGCTCAAGATTTTGTTAGATTATTTTAGAAAAATGATTTGAGTTTAGTTGTTTATCTTGATCTTGTTCTGCTTGTTCTAACTATATTTGTTCCACCTGTTTTTGTTCTTATTTTAACTTATTTGTTCATTTTCAGAAAAGTGCATTTTCATATTTCATGAATGGTGAAGGAAGTATACAAAGTGTTGTTTTGTCAAAACAAATCAAGTCTATGGAGTCTGTTGTGGTTGATTTACCTTGGAAGTCTTCAGATGATTATCATTTGCATTGCGGTGTTGCAATGATGAGGCATATGGAAACATATATGGGTTTGCAAAAGTGGAATTCAGGTTTAAAGAAAAATAATGTAAGTCTAACCAGAAAAAGTCTAATTGCAATTTTTATAATTTGATTCTTCTGGAATGAGAAATCTGCACTTTTTAGATTAAAATTTGTGAGTAGCTTGTTGATATACATTCATGAAGCCATTACTTACCCTATACTTACTCTGAATTATTGCTTCATTTTTTCTCTTTGCAGGACATAATCATTGACAAACTTCGTTTGAAGTATACCCTCTCAATTATTTCAAGTGAAGTAAATACTGTTAAACCTGTTAAACAAGTTGTCCAAAAGAAAAAAAAAGGCTGAGGAAGCAAGTGATGCTGAAGAAAGCTAGGGGCAGCAATCCAAGAGCAATTAACGGAGAGAATTGAAGACTGAAGTTGATAAATTGTTCTTAGGATTTGTATAGTTTTTGTACAGAACAATAGAAGTGTTAGTTTTATGATGTTCTTAATAGGACAAATGTGATAAATGTTCTTAGTTGATATAATGTTTTTATGATGTTGTTAGGATTTTCTAAGTATAAATTTTGCTATGTCAATGTAATGGATATGATTTTCTATCTTATTGACTAAGTTGTTTGTCATTTGTTAAATTCTTGATTAACTATTTGAGCAACTGACTATTTGCTCATTTGCTAAATGAGCAAATAAATGTTTTCTTATTTTTTTAAATAAGTAACTAATTATTTGCTCATTTAAAAAATGAAGAAACTAATGCTTACTCATTTCACAAATGAGCAAAGAAATGGTTGTTGATTTAATGTATTATTAAAAGGAATGTTTACTCATTTGACAAATGAGTATTAACTATTTGCTCATTTGACAAATGAGTATTAACTATTTGCTCATTTGCCAAATGACCAAATAAATAATGCTAAATCTTATATTTATATAAAAATATTAACTTTTATATTTGTATAAAAGTATCATTATACAAATATCAGCAAATATCTAGTTAATTTAGCCTCTATGATTTTGAAGATTAGGGTATGTTCTCTTTATTTAATTCAAAATATTTCAAAGAAGTAAATTTAATCAAATCCATAATTGATGCAATTAAACAAGCAATTCAATGAGAACAGAACGAACCTCAAAAATCGAAAATTCTCATGCAATTAACATGCAATTCAATAACCTGGTGATTGATGCAATTAAATATGCAAATTAATAAGAACAGAACAAACTGAAAAATCAAAAATTATCATCCAATTAACATGCAATTCACCTGGCGAATTTGATTTGTAGCAGCGATGGAAATGCGATTAGTAATTGATGATTTGTAGCGCAAGGCAAGCAAGTTCGGTGTGAACTTGCTTATGATTAATTTGATGAAGCAATTGATGAAGCAATTTGAAGCAATGAGAAACAGCGTTACTGATTAGCCGCCATTGATGAAGCTTCGTGGTGGAGAGAGAAGTTAGTTAGCTAGGTGGAGAGAGATGACAGTTAGGTGGTGTATTTACTGATTTTTCCATTACTATGCGCTTTTTCATCCGTCAGATCTATTTAGTTCAAGGGCCAAGATTTGGTCTCATATAAGAGATGGTCTCATATAGGGGGATGGTCTCACCGGATCCCGACCCTATATATATATATATATATATATATATATATATATTGTCTGTTTGAAAGATGTCCAACGTACTGTTATAAATTAGTTTAATACCGTGCATTAAATAACTAATAACCAAATACTCTAAATTCCAAAATACGGGCTTTTAGTAAAATCAAGTTGAGCTTCAACCTGAATTAGAAATCAATGCTTGTTCAAATTTGATGAGAATTGGGGAAAAAAAAATAATAAACTGATTTTTATTGAGGGATACCCAGTTATCTGGAGGTATAATTGTCTATTCAAGTACCAGGGGAGGGGTATATGCGTCTTTTCATGTACTAGTTGAGGGGTACGTGTGTAATTACCTCACCAAACAGTAAAAGCAAAAAGCAAACAGTAATTGGACATTTCACCAAAAGTACTGAATAAATAACCCTACTTTTTCAATATATTTACAAAAATGCCATCAGATTAACAAAAATTCGTTTATCTGACAAATTAACTTGTATTTTCCCATTTTTATTGCACCTTTAAATCATCCAATTTTAAAATGGGAGGGAAATACTGTTGAAAGTAGCTAATATTGGTAAAAATATTACAATTATTTGAGTCACTTACAATTGTTTATCACCGTGAATTAGGTATAATATGTTGGATGAATTGTGCACCAACCTGGCTTATCAATTTTGCACAATTGAGGGTTTCAACAATTGTTGTTGTAATTAAAAGTATCCGCTAACCTATTTGATGTTAATCAAGTTTGCAAGTTGATTACATCAAATTTTGAAGATATTAGCCCCAATACTAAGTGATTTTATTGTTTTGTATTTTGGAACTTAATTAGTTTGGCATAGAGATCGATGAACTTCATGGTGATAGCTTAATTATATGAGCGCGAAATCATTACAGTGAGCAACACCATCTAATATCAGAATCATGAACTGGTTGTTTTGGAAACATGCTTTTGTAAATAAACTTGTGCATTGAGGCTAAGTACAAATCATAAAAAATTAAAGTGCTATTTGTTTCTCATACACTTTGCCATTAGCCTTAGGCGTAAATGCTATTACATGTAATATTGTGTATAGAACAATACCGAGGAGCGGTACTTGGTAATCTACCTAATGTAGCTTGTGTGTAGAAAGTTATCCATGACACATACTCTGTCTCTGGAAGTGGTGCTCGCTGTTCTGGAAAATGAATGTTGCAATCCCTCGTACCCGGCCACGACATAGTTAGAAGTCATATATGTGAGATGTGTTTTCAGTAAGCGGTTATTTATCATACTAAATGTTGTAAATGAAGTACGCTACGCTATATTTACTCAAGAGACATACAATTGGGGAAATTAGCACTCCCTTTTACTTGAAGTTGAGTGTTGTTACATCTTGTATTTGCTTGTTGATGTTGCTAGTCTAGACGATTCATGAAGGGAAGGAGAGTAAAGTGGTGTGGCAAAAAAAGAGTTATCTGGGTTGGTTTTTTTTGGCCAGCCCAGATAACTCTTTTTTTGCCACACCACACCAAGATAGCTCTTTTTTTGCCACACCACGCACTTTACTCTTTTTTCCTTCATGAAAACCAACCCAGATAACTCTTTTTTTGCCACACCACTTTACTCTCCTTCCCTTCATGAATCGTCTCGATTAGCAACATCAACAAGCAAATGCAAGATGTAACAACACTCAACTTCAAGTAAAAGGGAGTGCTGATTTCTACAACTGTATTTCACTTGAGTAAATATAGCGCAACATACTTCACTTACAACATTTAGTAAAATAAAATTTTAAAAACAAAACCTCTAATAGAAAACACATTTCACATTTATGAACTTCTAACTTCAAAGCCTTGTTGATGATAATATATAGTGTGATATTTTAGCACAAATGTCAAAATTAAACCTCCAAAAACCATGATTGTAATTACCTTGTCTTTAAAGATTGATTGTGTTTCTTCGACTTGGATGATTGGCGTTAAACCTTGTAATCTTCAAGGTCCGAAACATAGCTTAAGCCTTCAAATTTATCTTTGTATCCTTTAGGATCCACCATTGTTGTGGAAGATTTCATAGGATCTATTTAAGTTTGATGCAAAAAAGGTCATTGTATGTTTATTGGAGGTGAAATAGTTATAGTAAGAGACTAAAAAAGAGTAATAGAAAGATGTAGAATCAAGAATAGAGAGGTTAGTATGCTAAATTGCTAAGTATGTAGCATAATTATATAGATAAATATTGTGAGTAGTTGAAAGAACGAAGTAGCTGGGCAATTTCAAGCTGATTTCAGGGAAGCTTCATTTTCTTTTTCTTTTTCACTTTTGCTATTGCTTTCTCTTTCACTTTCACTTTTTTATGAATTTACTTTACTAATTTGTTATACCAGCAAGGCAGCAATTACTATGAATTTTCGGGTGGATGCTCGTTAGCTTTGTTGGTTAAAGTTTTGGGATTGTATTTGATATTTGAGATCAAATCTCTACATCATTGTCCATTAAAGTTCGATCTCTATCTTATCAAAAAAGAATTAAAAAATTAATAACTATAAATTTTTTTATTAGCCTAACATTGTTGTATTCTTTCCATATTTTCTAAATTACTCAGTTATTTTTTATTATTTTTTTTATGGCCAAACTTACTTTAATCATTTTTATCAATTATCTATATACCAAAACATCGATCATCGCACAAGTCTTGCTGGATTTTAATCAATATTTAATTTTTAGATATCAATTTACTACATCCGATCTGTTTTATATTATTAATTAGATATTTTCAACTCACGTACACTTTAATCAAATTGTTGCAAATTAAAAGAAAAGGAGTTACTCAGGTAGTAGACTTTATATATTGATACAATACTCAAATTGGTCCACACGTAAACTTGTAGGACATGCATGTAGGTGAATGACGTGAATTAATGACGTGAATCAACACTCACTACTTTACTAGTACCTTTGTTACTGTCAAAATTTCTAATCTTTAGACATTTGGAAAACTTATGCCCCAAGTAAGTAAAAGGTACTTGACTATCACAATCAGTCAACTAATATTATTATTCCCATAACCAGGTTAAAGATAGAGAACACTTTACTGAAGTTTCAAGTTATTGCGCTAATGCTTCTTAATTCTTATGGACCTCCTAAAATGTTGTTTTTACGGGAAAAAAAAAAATAACATCTATTATTATTAGGAAATTTTGCAAAAACCCACATTTTAAATCTTATTTTTTGCAAATAACCACCTTTTAAAAAAATTGTTGCAAAAAACCATTAATTTTAAAATTTTTGTTGCAAATTACCACTTTTTAAAGCCAAATTTATCAATTGTGTTACATTGAATTGGTGGTAAGTTGCAATAAAATTTTTAAAATTGGTGGTTTTTTGCAACATTTTTTTTAAAAGGTGGTTAAATGCAAAAAACAATATTTAAAAGGTTGTTTTTTTTTTGCAAAATTTCCTTATTATTGCATTATTACTACCTCCGTTTCGCATTATTTACAACGATTTGACATAATATAGAAAGGAAAAATGTCTAATCATTGGAAATAATATGAAACGGAGGTAGTATTATTATTAGGTCCCATGCTCCAATTACATGTATAGTTATTAATGCAAGACATAAATCTGCTCATCATTCTCTCTGTTTTAGCTCCAAGGACTTTTTAGTAATCTCTCTGATTGTAGCCGTTATTTCTATTTGCTTGTAATGATCATGTAATGCTGATTGGCTATTTGCTTCACCAACTTATTTGTCCTGTAGTTGCTATATATTCAGCTGTACTGAGTCCTTGGAATAATAATGAGAATGACCTAAAATTCTTCCTGCCTCTTTTCTTCTTTGCTAATCATTCTTGCATTGCAAAGTTCTGAGCTTTATCTCCTTGCACTCATCGATCTGACTCATTCTTCATGGTATCAGAGCAGGAGGTGCAATATCGAGATTGTTTGCCTCAGTTTTCTTGTTCTTGCTGTATTACTGGTCATTGATAATCTCATTTGATAAATAAAAATCCATCCTTT